ATACAGCTTAACCAGTGCTCTGTTTGTAGATACTACTGTAATGATTAGCTACATTCCACTTCAAACTGTCATTAATATTCCCCATATGTGATTAATGCCTCTAATTCTGCACAGAGATTTCATGACAAACAACCAGCTGTCTGTCTTTTTATTTCATTGTGGTTCTTGAACTCTTGGCTCAGGTTATGTGTTTCTGGAATGTCAAATAAAGAATATACTTTTCCATCCATCAGTTTACACTCTGCGTGCAGTTTGATGGCATCTTGCTAATACGGCCTGGTTGCACTGTAATTCACCTTATAATCCATTGTATCAACACTGACTGTTCAATGTGCAACTTCCTAACAAGGTGGCTGGTGCCTCTTAGGCACTATAGTACCTTGGGAGAGTGGTATTTTAAAATGTATGCCCAGCAAGAAGGCTCTCTGGCTTGAAGTTCCCAACTGTCACAATTAGATATAACTTCCTTCACTAGAAAAAAGCAGAAGAAATACTCTGCTCAGGCAAAAAGGTGCCCGTCTGCTTCAGAACTACCTTTCCACACTAGCATATCCCAGATTTCACATCTGAGATGTTCTGTTGAGTAATATGGAAAGCTTTTGTTGCCTCCAGGCATCCCCTATGTGTCAGCAGCGCACGACTTCTCTTTTGGACAATTTCAATACACAGATTGGATTCTGCTAATTATTTTATCTATTATTTCTTTTGATGCCTTGGAAATAGTAAGAAGCTGGACCAGCACAAAGTGGTCCTGGCTGTTGTCTGCAGAACAGGCCCAGGATGCTGGCATTCTCCTCACCTGCCATTGAGTCTACAGACATCTGACTGTACCGTATGGGTGTTCTGCTCTACCTGCAGATACAATAGAGATCCAATGGTACATTTACAAACCCTTTGAAATCTCCTGGTGAAGGTGATATAATAAAAGACACCATAAGATGGGCATATTGTAAGGTAGGTACTGTGTTGCTGGTGATACTCTCTACTCAAGTGTTAGGGTCTAGGCCTCTTCTGAATAAACTGACATAGAGTTCACAGGTACTGCCACCAAATTTTAGTCCAAAATATGCCACATGAAATTCACAGCAAATCAGCAGGTAAGATGACTAGAAGTTGGATGAAATAAGGCTCTAAAACAGTGCTAGATTTCAGCAGAAGTCCTTATGCCAATAGATAGTAACTTCCTGTAAAGTGCCACTTGCAGGAAGACAGTTGGTGACTCACATGGGAGCTCTGCTGGACTTAAAAAGGAAAAGAAAATGATGCACTTTGGCAAACGCCCTCTGCTGTCACCATCAACGAGAGATTTCTCTACATAGAGCACTGACTGCAGAGTTCCAGGTCTTCTGTAACACATGTGAGGCCTTAATCACATTACAGGAAAAGTTTTGGTCTGAAATGCAGTGTCTTTGTAAGCCTGACTGAAAGCAGAACTGAAAACCATTGTCCAAAAAAGATTTAAAATATTAATTTTGTTCTGTGATCTATGACTCTCCTATCCCTCAAGTGAATCTGTTAGCACAGAGAGCAGCAGACATACGCAGTGTGGTTGACTTCACCTTGTGCACAGATGTAGGAATCTGCTCCTGCAGTTTAGATAGAGCATGGGAGTTTGCCTTGACCTTCCTTGTAAAAGAAAGTTTGGAAGCTAGGAAACTATTGGCAAGGTCAATGAAACAAATAGAAAATACCTTGAACAACCAAGTTGAGCTCCAATGCTACCCTGATATACTAGTGAGTGTTCACAGTCATTCATCTATTTGTCAGTTAACTATGGTTGTTCAGATGTCACCAAGAACGCAGGGGTAGCTCTCATTAACCCCAAAAGAAGATGACATCATTTTGTTTACATCTGGCACTCAGGATACTTTTTAGGAAACAATCCAGGGTGCAGTTTCTTAGAAAAAAAGCCTACCACTGTTTGCAGTACTTTCCATCCTTTTTATACTTACTGAGCAATGTACTAATGGTAAACCTGCACATGCAGCTCTGTGATATGCTAGACGTCAGCTTGCAAAAAGCAGGAATTGGTAACCCAATGCTGCCCATGAAGCAGCATCCATCTGCACTTGGGATGGTGGGGCAGTCTGACCCGTCAACCACCAGAATGCATGCCTGGTAAGTGTCTGACAAGGTGGAGGCAGGTACTTGATAAGTGCTTAAAGTGCTACCAAAGCAAAAAGTGTCACTGTAGTCAAGTTCTAATAAAATGAAATAAAATCAAACAATTTCTCAGCTGGAAACTAAGAATCTCTGCTGCTTTTGGCCTGCTAAACAGAATATCTATATTTAAGTATGGCAGAGGCTGAGCAAGATGGGATAGATAAAAGATGTTACAAAGATGCTCTGGTTCTGCCTCCTTCAGAGAGTCAGTAGGACCTTCAACATAATTCCTTCTTATGGGAATTCAGAACTCTAAATCTGAAAGATCAGCTTTTATTTCCCCTTCATACACCAATCTCAGCAACGTTGGTAGACACAGCAGCCACACATTTTGGAGAAGACACACAGCCGCAGCTGTAAAGCTGACTGTTGTTCAGGGAAGTCGACACAGAGTTGTGGATCTGCTCACCTAACGTATCTGCTTTAATCTATGGGTCTCATATCATCATCTCTGTCACAACATTTTATTTATCTGCCACAGCTGGAACTGGTAATAACTTCAAAGGGAAAGATGTTGCTTCTGCTACAACTGCAGCAATGCTGGTGAAAAAAATTAAGATGAAAAAATTAAACGTGGGGGAGAAAAGGGAAAACTGAAAGGGACATGCAGAGAACCAATAACCTGGAGGCCTGCAAGCCTCACAAATTCAGTGTGAAAAGCTGTCCGTTAGTGCCATCTTGTGGGATCAGAGCCACCCCCACCCCTTGTCTTGGAGACAAGGTTCCACCAAGGTGCAGCCTCACCTCATACCTTCCTGGCTTGCAGCACAGGGGCCTTCCATCAGACAATGCTGAAGCTCAGCATATATATCAGGCATGATATCCTACCTGCGGTCACTTAAGCAAACAAGAAGTGTGTGCTGGGGAGAGGCACCAGTCCAGAGGCATCAGAAGGACTCTCTGACCTTGTCTGCCACATCTGAACAGAAACCAGGCTGCAAAGTCAGCACAAGGATGAGCAAGGAGACTTGTCCACATGTTGACCTACACCTGTGCAAGAGGATTTCTGCCATCCTTTCTGGAGCACACTTCATGTCCTCATTAAGTGCCTGAATCATCATGAAGTAAAGTATTAGCTACATGCAGAGACTTTCAGTCTGGGGCACCTTGCTCAGACTGGGGTATCCTTTATATCAGGTACTGAGTGTGGGAGCTGGAGGAATCCAGTTTCCTTCCCCACCCATAGACCCTATCCCTTGTTCTGAGGCAAGATGCAGACTTTGAGAGGTGAGTGTGAAATCCAGGCAGATGGATGGGCAAGCAGAATGCTTTCTGTCCCATTTTGGCTGCTGAGAGTGAGGAGAAAGAGACAAAGGTGAAGTCAGCAATAGCAGCAATGGGCCAGTTATTTAGTGTGAAGATGGGATAAAGCTGTCTTGGCAGCTGCCTCTCACGTTTTCCCTGGGTGCTTAGCACCATCACATTTTATGTCCAAGCCTGTGCAGATGGGAGGGAGGAGATGCAATGCAGAGGCTTAGGGTGGGAGGGCAGTGATGGAGGGTGAGGTGCACAGGGGATTACTTTGAGAATCAAAGTGGGCAGAAGGAGAAGCCTATTTTTTTTCAAAGAAATCTCTTTCTAATGCTAACAGTCCCCATGGTTACTCCCATGGCTGACATCTGTCTTTTCCTATCCACAGGTATTATGATTGCCTCATTTCTTCTCTGCCTGAATTTCCTTCAGGTCTTCATACCCCTTATGCTCTTCTCATTCAGCTTTGTACTGTTCTCCCAGCTGCAGCTGTAACACCTCTCCTGGCTATCAGTACTATAAGTATGCTAATGTTCATAACAAAGTTGGAAAAGTAACACAGAGTCTGAATAAGTGTTTATTTCCTTAAAAAGTAGATTAGGCTGAGGAAAATGAATCTCAATGTACTGAGCATTTTACACAAAGCAGGATCTTTGCCCTGTGGATGTTACCAGCTTTGTAAATGACGTAAAGTCAGTGTGTGAGGGGTGACAGATGTGGAATAACTAAACTGTGCAGTTTCTTGGCAAATTTATGTACACTACAACATTTAAAGTGTTGTATTTACGTATGTGCTCACACAGTGAAGGCATCCCAATTGAAAGATCTCTGACCTTTGCATTCAGTGCTGCAGCAAGATCCAGATTCAATTTTGTAAGACCAGTGGCATTTTTGTGTGAATTTTGTAGTAATGTTTACATTTTACAGGACAGTACACTCAAAATGAAATATTAACAACACAGGACCTTCTTATTTTGGCAGATGTTTACTGACTTAAAATCAGGGTCTGTTTTTAGTGCTATTTAACATGACTCAGATATCTTAAGAGTACACATCTTTTATCCTCCCAAAGTGGAGAGAGTGTAAAACCACTGAGCTTTTCAGCTACATTCCCATGTAGGAAAAAAGCTGGAGAAGTGAAATTGTATTTATATCTATAAAGTTATTGATAAATTGATAACAAAGCTACGTTTGTTAGATGGGTATTGAACTGCTTGATAAGGTGCGGCTTCTTGTATTAGTGGGGAAAGACCTGTAAATAACTTCATGAAAAGCACAATCATTTACTAACGCTCTCATGGTATGGTCATTTTCCCAATGAATCCACTGCCAACAGTGAAGTGTGCACCTGGCATTTCTAATACCATATGTCAGGATCTGTGCTAGAATATGTTAATTTAAGTGACAAAGGATTAACAATTTGGCCAGCAGGTGCACCTTCATGTGGTCTCTATTTTTCAGTCAAGCATCCATTCAGAAGATGTCTCTTAAGAAAGAATATTAAGCAGACAGTAGCTTCATGCAGTTGGCAAATCTCTTCCCTTTCTAATCTGCATGCACCAAACTGACAGGGATTACCTGCAGTATTTGAATTTGGATTGGAAATGCTGGGGATATGCATAAAACTTCCTATGAGTGTTATCAGGATGGGATGTCTTTGATGTCCACTAACAAACAAAAGCCTTAATCCCAGATCTTGGATATACCAGCTTGAATCTGAAATAATTCCTCTGATTAATGCCATGGAGAATAGAACATGCCCTACCACTGCTGGTTTTCTTCAACATTCAGTGACCATTTCTTATTACCTTCAAAAGGAACAAAAATAAGCCAATATAATTTTAAAAAGCCTCCTCTTTTTGTGTTTGTATGATATCTTAAAGGAAAAGCTATGTACAGAGAAGAGTTCCGGTGCTGGAAAGCATTACTACCTAGCAAAGACCTGCTCATGTGAAAGATATGTCTAGCTGTTAGTATGCTGTAATGCATAGCCATTGTTATACACGTAATTACTGTAACTCATCCAGTCATCTGCACACTGATATTCTTGATTAGACTGAATGTATGGATGATAAACTGTTTCTTTTCCCAAGAAATAAGATGGAGTGAGTCTCTTTAAAACAACAGCACTGAACTGGTATGTCAGCTTCCTTCTAATTTTAACTATTTCACCTGTTCTTCCATAATTCCTCAGTGCTCTTGCCATTTTCTGATATGTCATGATCTTGCGGTTTCCCTTCCTTTCCCCCCAAAGCTCTGCAAGTTTCTCCTTGTTTTTGGAGACAAACTGGAAGATGCCATTGGGCTTATCCACCCACTGGATGCAGTTTGCCATAGCTGGATCGTACAGAGACTCATGGAGGTACTCGAACAGTCGAAGTTTTTTCCTACCTATTAAGAAATAAAGTACAAAAGTCAGAATAGGACTCATACTTGTTTCAAAAGATGAGCAGTTGTCTTCTTCCTGGAAAGGTTCTTATAGGCAAAGGCACAAGTAAACCTACCAGCCTGTCACAAATGAAAAGAAGCCACTTCTATGAGTCTTCAGACACATGTTGTGGAGATACATGGTCAAGGAACCCATACCAGGAAATTGCATCCTCAGAAAATGCAACAAAGAGGTTATGGAGAGCTAACCTGAATGGTTTTGAATAAATGTTTTCCCTTTGCTTAACTAAAACTCACAGATGTTGAAATGATTCAATTTTGCGAGATTTGTTTCAGGAATGTTTTGGGGCTGCAAGGTAGTCTCTGATATAAGAAAGGGCGAGTGGGTAAGCAAAAAGAGCAAGCTAGTTTTGAACCATAAACCTCACCTAGTCAATAAGGATGTATTTATTGAGGTACTTTCTGGTACCTTGCAGTTTTCTAAAAATGTGGAGAAGTGCCAACTTGCATTCCCATGCAAAATAAAGCAAGCTCTGTACTGCAGTATTTGTCAGTTAATTGTGTGCTTCTCCCAACAGGCTCAGCTCTCAAACTTAAGTTTACTAGTGAGGTTTATTTAGTTTCACTTAGGTCTTTCTCTGAACTACTTCCAGTTCCCTTCACAAAGCCAAGGGTGAACAAGAAGCTGCTGTAAGGAGGAAGAATTTAAGATTGTGAGACAAAGAGGAACATTTTGCAGAAAGGAGACTCTATGCAGAAGAATGGCTTCCACTTTAACCAAAGTGGAAACAAGCAGCTGCACCTAAAGTTCATAAAGTCTTGCCTTGCATGGCTATTTTAAACTAGGACTGAGGGAAAAGTGACAGTTGCTAAGGAACACTGAGGTCAAGCCAAGACATCTGCTAGGGATGACAGTAATTCTGCATCTGGTGGTAAGGAAAGAGGGGAGAAGTGACAGTCAGACTGGGAAGAAGAAGAGCCTGAAATCAGAGGTACTTTCCAAAAATTAATAAAGTTTCATTATCTAAATAAAAATTGGTGTGTGACTAGAAGTACACAATCTACTAGAAATACATGTAGCATTACCAAAAACTGGACACTACCCACTCTCACTAAGCACTTCTTAGTAACTAACCTCCTTAGGTCCCCTCCAAGCTGAATTATATTACAAGCCAATGAACGTACCATAGAATAAACAATTTTAGGGGAAAATGTGCAGATTGCTGCAAACTGGTCTCTGCTGGAAAATGATAGTATAGTCACGTCTGCAGCAACACCTGATTTCGTGCTTAGTTTAGCTGTCATTTCTGCCCAAGCTTTTATTTCTAGATACATCATCTCTAGCTCATGTCTTGGTTTGAGAGGGCTTATTTGCTCTTATGTGTTAATGCAGCTATGTTTCTGGAGTCCAGCTGTTACCTCCAAAGAGCTACACAATGTGGATGCACCAGTCTGAGCTGGGGTTAGTTCACAGATCTTTGTACAGCACCACATTGCATAAGCTAGTGGTGTTCATTACCAGGTACTAAACATGAGTCTAAGCTAGCAGGCTAGTGTCTGAAGGTTCCTTATGTGGTTGTGGGAGGCAGGCAGGTTCCTCTAGCAGGTGTTTCAGAGCATCTGCATTAGATTTCTGTGCTGAACTGTCCCAAAGAAATCTAATTCTCTGTGTATGTCTCATTCAGATGCATTTCTGGAGTACCTCTCTTGATTGTTTCCACCCACCGAGCTTTCATTCAGATCAGGGAATGGTCTTGATATACGTGAACTGGACTCCTTGCAGATGAAACCTGAAGCATATCTAAGCCACTGCAGATTTCAGAATGTGTGGACAGCATAGAGATTGCCCTAAATAAACCCTTGTGAAACACTTTGAACATAGACTTCAGGTCATTAGTGGTGATTATTTCATCTACAGATCTATTCCGAAAGGGCCACGCTATTTGCTAGTGTATGGGAAACCTCTCATGTCACAGTAAGAAGCCAAGAGGACTACATTTATTTAGGTATAGTGGAAACAGTCTCACAAATGAGTTTCTGGCAGAAATATCACTATGGACACAAAGAAACCCATAAGAGGACACAAAATACACCATTAAGTCAGTCATTCTGAAAATTCATCCAGTATGGCCTTCTGGTAAAGAAAATTGATAATAACATAAAAGAAATAGGAAATAGGAAATGAAGTAATAACTGAAGGTGAATTCAGATGCTGACATGTAAAATTCCCTAGTGCAACACTGCCTAATACCTATATAAACAACATTTCTGGATTGAAAGATGTTCATTTGCAGTGGTGAATTTCAAGTACTAGAAGTACAGAACTTAAAAGGAGTGGCTACTCTTCCCATCATCACACAAAATTTTTAGTAGTAGTAGTAGCTATTAAGCAACAGAAACCACAGTGTTCAGCATCAATGGGAACAGATGATACCAAAAACTGACACCATGTGGTTAAAGTTGAAAGAAGGGGATTTCAAAAAGCAGCAAACCCAGGAAGCTAGTAAAAGACTCCACGGTCAAAAGTCAGTACAAAAACTCAGAGTGGAAGCTATGGAAATCTCATCTAGCAAAGTCATAGAAAGATGCTGAGCCCCAAACAAAAAAGCAGATGAATTCAATAAACAAATATAGCATTGTAATGACAAATGTTACCCAACCTATTTGCAAAACAGATATCCACTCAAGTAAAGTCAACCAAAAGGAGCACAAAATAACTATAAAAATGCACACTGTAGGTGACAAAAGCTAAGATGCAATTTGAAAAGTAAACAAAGAAAGGCATAAAATTAGGTGAAAAATTATTCTTGTTTGTGAAAAACCTTCAAGAAAACCACTACTTGTTGAACCACATAATATAAAATAAGTTATTAAAGATGTTATTGATTTACTTCTCTGCATCAGAGTTCATTCCAGATGATTTGGAGTGAAAGACATTTCTCGTTTGTATTTCCATGTACTAAATGAGAGGACAGAACAAGACAATAACAGATTTATGAGATTTATCAGATTGGAATTGAACACTAGCAGTTGTATTCTAGCTAATATTAAATGTTAACCTATCTTTTCCTGTTAAATAAAAAAAAAAAAAAAGAAAGCATGATTTGACAAGAGATTTTTTTGAAGTAGCATAATGTACGTATCAAGATATGCTCTTTCTACACACCTTTCCCTGCTTTTGGCTGGCCAGCAGCAGCACGCATCACTTGGCTTTCTGAAGTATTCTGCAGCATATGGTAGACAGTCTCATCTGCATAAAAATCAGCTGCACTGTTCTTCAAGAATTAAGACAACAAAGAGTTACTAATAAGAAACATTCTCTGAGTAAAACAAAACTCATAGCTATTAATTGCCTGAAGCCTTCAAAATGCAACTTCTCATCACCTCACCAATGGAAGACTTTTCTCAGCCACAAAAGCATGTAGTGTACTGTACCAGTAACAAGCAGCACTAATTTATGTCCAGTGGGAAGGACTGCCCACCATCAGAGAATTTAAGAGGGAAAACAGAGTAAGTGCCTCACTCTGGACCTTCAACCCTTCTGCTGGGAGCAGAAGAGGAACAGTGGACTCTGATTACTAAGATTACTTCTAAAAAGTGACTATGTATGCTTTGCAATCATTTCCCAAGGCAATTTTATCTGAATCATGCCTGGCCTCACCAAAGTTCTCTTAGAACTAACATAATGATTTGTATTAGAAATCTCAAATGGGCAGCCAATTCTCCATTTATATCTGACTCTTATTAGTAACCATTTCACTTACAATCACATTTCTCCAGCTATACCCTTGCTCCTCTGGTGCTGCAGAGTAGCTGGGACTTGCTCGGAGGTGGTGGTGATGGTTGATCACAGTCAGGCAACTTTTACAACCTAAGAATTAGGAGGATGGGGTGAAAATTGAGTGAGTAAAAGGAAGAGAAAAAGGGGGGGGTGGGAAACAGGGGCAAATAATCTAACACGTTACTGGGTCTGTGAAAAAGCATTTATCTTATGGCTGCCTCCTAGAAAATAAAGTCTCCAGAGCCAAGATGTTCCCTAGCAGCAGGTTATCCAACAGAATCTGTACTGTTACTGATAATCACACCCTTGGGCTGGTTTTGTTTGCTTTCACAAAAAGCAATATTTCATAAGATAAAATCTCAGATAATTTATAGTGTCATGAAATAGTCTGGTTAATGGAAAAAGGAGGGCCAAACATAATGAATGAAACGGGAGAATTATAGACTACTGTAATATGTGTATTAGAAAGGAAAAGGGAATGTTACACAGTTCTGCAGGCCATTTGTACAATTCAAGTCAGAGTCTCCAGTTGTGAAGGAGCATCAGAGCATCTGCAGTGCCTGAAAGAATGACACAGGAGGAACCCAACATCTTAGGATGTTCAAAAGAAGCAGAACACCAGACTGAGGCACTTGGAATCAACTACGTACTGTGGGTGGTCAGAAGAAGATTAGGGAGGGTACATATATTGCAAGTGAAAACATGGGTGCAGCTGTGGGACATCCTAAACACACAGTTGCAAGTGTTTTTATACCTCTCTCCGTTGGCACACACAACAGATGCAGGCAAGAACATTGCAAATAATAATATATAGTGGGTCCTTCACCATGTGTAAATTACCAGTGCAGCTAAGCCAAAAATGTATTAAGAACAGCTGAAGACATGGCTCAATTGGTCTTATTTGCATTTCAGTGTGTAATAGATAATATGCAAACAAACCCTCGTGTGAAATGCATTCCACACAAAAGACAATAGATATTTTATTCTGGACTTAGATGGTTTGTGGCTTAGCTTCTGTTTTCATTTGCTTTTATTTCTATTTCTATTTACAATGCAATAACACCAAACACAGATTTAAAATTTTGTAACAATTTAATTGCCAAAATCTTGCCTCAACTGCAACAATTTATGCCTTGCTTGTGTTTGAAGTTCTGTAAAGTATAAAACTCTTGAAGTCAAGAAAAAACATTTTTTCTATTGATTATCCAGAGTAAAACTATCATTTCTGCATAAAAATATTTAAAATTTATATTTTAATGTTAAAAAAAAATTGTGAAACTAATTTCACCTGTTGGATTCTTGGTCTTTCTCCCCTTTCCCCCACTAGATTTCACTGTTATATGAGTTTATTCCCAGTATAACAGATGGGCATTTTTCAGTTACAACATTAATAATGGAAAATAGCTGATGCACTATGGTCATATATCCTCTGATTACAGGAAAAAAAAGAGCCCAATGCACCTCGGGGCTGAGGGGAAGGTAGAGAGGAACTATGCAACACTTTCCCTGTGCTGTGATATGGATGATGCACACCACACCGGTCAGTACTAATGGAGGGGTGGAAACTCTTCAGATATTCTTCCCCCTTTCCATCCTCCCAGCATATCCCTCTGTTGGCCATCAGTTCACCTCTGGGAAATTCTTCACCCTCCTATGTACTTCAAGATGTATTTTCTTGTAAAAATACAAAGCGGTAAATGAAATGGAATAATGGTCTTTTTTACCTGGTGAATACTGCATTTCTCTATCAGAATGCTGCTGCAGGACTTCTAGCACATCTTCAAAAGCCTGGCCCAGTACATCTTGATCAGGAAAACTCTGCAAGAACATTTTTCCGTCAGAAGTCTGAAAAGACCAGGCCAGTCCTTTCAACACTGTCAGTCAGAAAATCCCAAATAAATAAAGTGATTATATGGAATACACATCCTCCTGGAATATGTATTTTGCAGGCACTGAGGCATTACCATAATCATTTAATATTATGAGAAAGTTCTCACTCCTTTGAGAAGTCTCTTTGAGGTCAGTGGGACAACTCACATGGGTAACATCACTCACTCGTGCAAATGTTTCAAGGTTCATTTCCTTAATTTGCAGCAGAAGTTTACATAGGGTGTTACTGCTGTTGGTCTGTTTTATAGTATATAATTCAGAGGTATCTATCACTTGTGTAACATGATTTATGCAGCCAAAGTTGCCATTCAATAAAACTGACATGACAAAAATTATTATGCACAAGTTATGCAGTGGTTATGCAGATAAAATGCTATACTATGACAGTATAGGAAACCAAGTGTGGATTCTCAGAAAATTGTTTATCATAATTTTGGAACATCTTGTTCTAAACAGCTAACCCCCCCCCTCGAATCTGAGTTTGACTAAGTTTTCTATATCATGATTGAGGCACTCAATAATGAAAGAGAATAAAGGCATTACAGACTTACCATCATTTAGATATCAAAACTGGAATCCTGTTAAATAAACAATATTTAAAAAAATCTTACGTACCAAAATAAACAATCATTATTTTAGTAGAAATAAAAATTATATTAAACATTTGCATTATTTCCAATTATGAAATAAAATTATTTAATAACACAGATAAAAGCAATTTAGGATTAAAAAGTGGTATTTTAATGAAATTAAATACTTCCAAAATGTTTTTAATTCAGAATGTTTTTCATTACTAAAGTTTCCAGTTTCATTAATATTGTAACTTTTAGATTACAATCCACACCATTATAAACACATTTTTAAAGACATTACAAAGTGAAAATTTGTTACTGATGACATTCAACCCTAGTCAACACAACTAATAAATTCCCAAAGAAAATACTGACCTGAATTAAGCATGTTTGTCCCTTTGGTTTGCAGACACGGTTAAAACAAGCTTAGCTTTTTTTTCATAATGCAGATTAGCATATGATGGTTTATGAATATACATAAACTCTCAGGCTAATTGTGGGTTCCAGAAGCAGGGTTGATTATTTAACAAACAGTGAAAATAGACACATTCTCAGCCAGTTTAACATGGATACAGTATACAACATTACTCAGAAACTCATTCCTTAGTGTCCTTTTATTTATTATTTACAGATTAGAATAATCAAGTTTTGTTGCCTTACAGGTTTTTTCCTGTTCTCTTTTACATTATTGTCTCAAAATTCTAAATACAATAATCAGTATTTCACTAATTAAACACTTTATTATAATCTCTTGAAAATACTGCATATTTTGTCAGTGATTTCAGCAAATGCAAGATTGGTCTCTGTGTGATGTTTCAAAATACAAAGGAGGGACAAGATACATAAATATAAACGAGGAAGAATTTTATCCAAGAATAACTATGAATATTCTAACCTAGTAATTATGCCTCTGTTATATTGTCAAAATTCAGAATTTTTTTTGTAAATGTTGATAACCAATCATTTCAAAATGGTGAAATCTGGGTGATTCAGTAAACTGACCTCACTGTAGTAGATGGGATTCTTCTCTTCGACTTCAGTTCAGCAAATATTTGATAAATTGATTTAATTTTGTTGTAAAACTAGAATGGGCTACATTAATCCTTTAGCTGCAAAGGTGGACACAGATTCTTCTGGTATAGAGCCGCAGACATGTCCTTTGTAAAGATCCTCTCTTAGTTTCCTCCTAATTTTAAGTAATTAATTCTCCTTAAACTGCTTTTAACTCAACCTTCAAACTGATACTTGCTAACCTTGACAGAACATCTACAGTCAGTGTTGATGCCTTTCAAAGCCTAAAATATTCAAGTATTGGCAAAGTACTGTTGAATGGTTTCATACCAAAAAAAAAAAGCAAAAGTCACAACTTTAGCAAGTTTGAAAAAAAGTCTGGACACTTACCTAGAATTTCAGCTCCACACACAAGACAAGAATATGTCTGGTTTTGTAAATAAATGAAAGACTGAGTTCCCATAGCAATGGGTTGGCAAAGGGGCTGCATTAAATAGCTGATTTTAGGGAAGTGTTTTGGCTAGGGAATTTTTTGAGAGTAAAGGTATAGTAAACTGCTAGCACGGCCCTTTGTTCTGCACCAAATAAAGGCTGATTTAAACTGATATAAAATAAATAGTTTAACTGTTGTCCACAACATGCAGATTCTAAGCACTGGGAGAGATTCCTTTTGGCTATGGCACATCCTAACAAATCTCTCATGGGTATGTTATGCCTAAGGCAAAAACCCTACATCCCTCATCTGTCCCATGTAGACCGTAGTGGACTTTGAGGTTTTATGTGAACCTGCTTAGATCAGTGTAAGAAGTGGACAAAACTAGATCTCAAAATAGAGTTGAGGGAATTTCAGAACTCTCTTTCAAAGCTCATGTTTGTAACCTACGTCCAGCTTTAAAGCATTAATTAAAGCATTTAGTACAGTTTCAGACAAGAGCAATTGCTGATTTGCCACATATTTCTTGAGAAGCTACAAGCCATGATGTTGCATCCTACAGGATGAGAACTCTGCAGTTCAAAACTTCTGACTGTTGACATAATGTATCCTGTACCATAGCTCTTTGCAGCCAAGTCTTTCAGAGGCACTTTTTACAAAATTTCCTCAGCATTTGCCATGAAACTGGTGTAAAATAGTAATTATCTCTTATAAGATTTATCTAAATTCCCTCAACCAAGAACTATAGTCAAGAACTAGCCTGGCTATGAATGCTAAGTGGAAGCAATCTGAAGCAAATCATAGAATTGTAAAATCAACTAGGTTGGAAAAGACCTTTAAGATCATCAAGTCCAAAAATGTTAGCATTGAACAATTCTGCTGGCTTCAGATGCAAGCTGCCTTTCTTTTTTATTTTTGTTAGTGAAATACATTAATAAATGTTTGTTTTTTTTTAATTACAAGTTCCATTTTGTAGCACTTCTCTAATGTGACTTGGGCTTATATAGGAAAATTAACTGGCGACTGTGCTCTTAAAACATCAAATTGACCCAGCACTGGATTTCAGTCCAAAATACAATGATACAGTTAACTTCCTTTCCACACACAGTTAACTTTACTTTGCTTCAAGGAAAAACATAGATTTAAGGGTTCAGTTCTTTCCTGAAGTAAGGTGTATATTGGATTTCAAATTATGAATGAGTTTCAAGATCCCTCCTGGGTTCCTTCCCAGTAAATGATGTCTTAATAGGCTCTTGGATGATGCTACCTGACCTGCCTACTTCTACATGTCTACCTAAAGCTGGACAGTTACTATTCTGGCCTCCTGTGCTCTCCACTCATCCTGGTCATGAAACTGCAGGGTGGCTCTTGTGGAGGAGATCAGGGCTGTCCTGCTCTGGTCACAGCCAATTCCAGCTGGCAATGGACCCACCATGTCCCAAAGCAGAGCCCATTAGCCACGTGAGTGGTGACTGTGAAAATACACTGAGGAAAGAGCAGAAAATGCCAAAGGGGAGGAGACAAACCTGGGAGGGAACATCAGAGGGGACAAAGAGGGAACAAAGCAAAAAGGAGAGAAACATGGGAATGAGGAAACAACACAGTCAGATGTGTTGGAGGTGCTCCATGACTGAGCAGGCACACCCCAAAAGGGACTGTAGCCCACAGACAGACCACGCTGGAACAGAGAAAACAAGTAAGAAGGAAGCAACAGTGGAAGAAAAGGGTGAGAAGCAAGGAGAAGCAGAGAGAGACCACTACATCCTGACCTCAACCCTCTGTGCCACTCATTGTTTCATCAAAGGGACTAAGTGTAACCTGTGGAGATAACAAGAGGCGAGGAGGTGTGTCTGGAGTGCAACTGAGCCTGGGAAAGGGGAAGGAAAGTTGTTTTAATGTTTGTCTTCTTTGCTTCCCAATACCCAAATCAGCAATGAAATATATTATGGCAATAAGTCAAATTCCCAGAGTATGCAAGCAGCTGTGTACCTGTGTGGTGCTGGCAGAGGCCAACACGCCCCAGTAGTAAAAGAGGGTGAAGGTCGAGAAATTAAAGCTAATGCTTTTAACATCATTAAAAAAAATCAATCTTCCTAACTCAAATTGCTCAATCAGAACATCCTCTTTTCATGCAACAGGCTACACCATATGCAGGTCAACAAAAGGTTTTTTTAAGAGGAGATGGGAATGTGCCGTATGTAGGACAAACACACAGCAAAACAAAAAAAAAGAGCAAAACCAGCTGTCTCATAGGGTAGTTTTAACTTCTGTAACCCATTTGTACATTGCATTTCTGGCCCATAAAAAGCTCAGAGCAGGGGCTTAGGCTACCTTTCTGTGAAGCCTGTAAGTGTTCAGAAGTGACGGAGTAAGGTACAGCTCAGGCCTGAGTGTCAGCTAACACTACTGCTCACTCCTCAATGAGTCACAGTACAGTCAAGGCATGTTGGTCTCTACCAAGAAACGTTATTACAGAAGAAAGCCTGCTTTGATTTTGGCATTGGATGAGAAGATGGATTCCAGATACAAGCCTGAGAAAGAGAACTTAGTAATCACATTTTAATGTCTAAAAAAATTGATGTGCCTGGTATCAAAATTAACTGGTATCAGTTAGAAAACACATCAGGCTCTTCTCCTTCCTCCATGTTTTAAAAATAAACTTCCAACAACAGAATGATTGTTTAATTTTCAGAACTTTCTTTCATCCTTTTTTGGCAATCAAAGCTAGTTCATAGTAATGGTACAGAAAAAGCATTTTCACCTCTTTGAATAAAAAAAGAACTAAATAATCAAGTACAGCACTTGTTGAAGGGCTTGAGAAAGCATAAATAGTCCTGCATGAGGCATTGCTCAAATGCAGAGTGAAAACCAGCCTCTCCTCTCTTAAATGAATGTAAAACTTGAAAAGGCAAGTTTTCTCACCAGGCATTTGTAGATTCCTCAGACTTTTTTGAATGTCAGGCAATTTGTAACTGCCCAAATAGCACAGAGAGATCACACAATTGAAGGTATTTCATAGAAAAAAATAACCAAAACAAACAACCGGTTGTAAAAATGATTCTGTCACAGGGAGTCACACGCCCATACACAAAAGATTGCCTACCAGCTCAACAATCTCCAGAAACTGCTGAATGTGACAGCCACAGAGAGCTTCTGTGCTTACATATTTGTTCCGGCCCTTGGCAGACCCTTTGATACCCCTCTTCTGGCCATGCAGCAATGTAATAATCTTTGTCATGAATCTTCATGGGTGTAATTCACAATAATTACATAGCCACAGATGCTGTCTCCCTGAAAATGGAAGAATTGAGAGATCACATGCCTGTGCTCACCTCCTGAGTCTAACCATGTTGACAGCGAACTTTCAGATCTCTGACATTGTGCTGCTTCTGGTCTGCTCCATTCAACATTCAGAAGAAACTTGGAAGTTTCTTGCAGCAGCGATGCAGCATTTTCTCTGCACAGGAGGAACATGGATCAACACACAGAGAGCTTCCTTACTTGCAGAGTGCAGTGTTAATCCAGGCTCGACTATTTCACAGTGAATCAGTCTGAAATCTTAACTTCAAATCAGTGAGCTCAGAAAATGCCTGAATGCACATTCCCAGCCCCTGAATACAATGAAAACTCTCCTTAAAAACTAACAAACAAAACCAAAACAGAACAGAACACCAATCACAATAAGGAAATAAATTCTGCTTAATACCAACCTAAATACTATTGTTTACTATGATTTTGGTCAGCTAATTTAGTGTAGAATACATACAGAGAAAGAAAAAAAAGAAACCTCAAAACAAAACAAAAACAAAACCAACCAACCAAACAAACAAAACCACAAAAACAAAAACAAACCTGAAAGGGAACATAAAAACCAAAACCACAGTTACGGCATCCTATCACAAAAGCAAATGAAACTGGGTCTCATTATTCCATTTTTGTTGGGAGACTTTAGTATATGCATTTCAACAAACATCATAATTTGTTCAAATACCAAAAGATGTGGCTGTATCATAAGTCCAAACTCTTCACTTGCCTTACAAATCATTCTACAGATGGCAAACTTTCTGCAATGCAAAATACAATTGTTTATTGTAACTGGTGGAGTTACAGTATCGGTTCCTTAGCTGGTGGAAATTGATATAGAGCCACCAAAGCCAAACGATCATTGCTGATTTGTACAAACAGAGGTTCTGGCTCATAGTTGATACTAGCCTTACTTTCAGTACAGTAAGGGGAAACTTGCTGCGCCAGCACTAATGCTGCACATTCCTCTCTGACTTCCTGATTTGTTTTAATTCTTTGGCTGTCTTATACAGCCTTACATTACATTGGTGGCATTTTTTTCATTTTAATCCTTGCAAGGCTCTTTAAAGTTACTTGAAGGGCAACATTCTTTTAGAAGAGCATTGTCCAACTGTTATCTCCAAATACATGTTATGTACGAAGCTTTTTTCAGTTCTTAAGGAAGAAAAAAGATACTGAAAATGTTTTATGAATTGAATTTTAAGCCTAAAATGAAAGATTATCTCAATCCAACTGTTTTGCCTACCTTTGGTTTCATACCTTTGCATATCATACCTTTGCATATCAATTGGGGATTCCCATCTCAGAGTCATGTTTTTAATTTTGATATTGCTTTAAATATTTTGCTTTTAAAACACTTTAATCCCTTTAGAGTTAACAATTTTGTGGACTTTAAAGGTGAAAGAAAAAATGTCTTGCTATTTCTTAAGAAGATACTCTGCTTTTAGACTATTCCAGAATTACATACGATTATCTTAATATAAAAGATATAAACAAAACCACTGATATGTTTGAATTTTAATGTCTTTTTGCTTTAATAACTTATGATCCAACCTTAAAAGATGTGTTTGCATGGCTAGTTTTGCATCTGTAACACATTTTACTAAGAACCATTGAATAATTACTATCATAAACTCAGGTATTTGGATAAATCATTGCAGAGATTAGGCTTAAACATGTAATTAACTCTTCTGGGGCCTAAAAAGGGAAGCGCAGCATGAAGGCTGAAGTTGCGTAAGTGGGCAGATCAGCTCTTCAATGGAAAACCCACATCTAAAGCCCCCAGTTTACAACTTGATCCAATATATTGGTCCAGTTGTCCGTGTCAGCAGCACTTCTCAGGAAGCTTCTTCTTTGGCTCCGTATAACCAAAGGAAGTGACTTTCTGCTGGGAAACCCCATGAAGATAGAAAACCAGAAACCACAATAGAAGCACGAGGAACTAATAACAGAAAGTGCATGGGGGGGGGGGGGGGGGAGAAAAAAACAAAAGAAAAAACCCCAAAGGCCAACAACAAAAAAACCCAAACAAACTACTAACTAAATGAAGATTT